AAGTCGGCCCGATTATTCGCAGCATTGCGCTCTGAGCTAGTTACGTGCACCCGAAAAGTGAGGTTCGAAATTTACGGGAGCGGCCTTCTACAATGTTACCAGCACTGCTCTTTACGGTCGCCGTACTTAAGGAAAAGTTGCTGAGGCAGAAAAATTTCGTTGTTCGTTAAAATTTTGTAGTACTGTAGTTTCAGCAATATGCGTTGCAGAAAAGGTTCGTCAAAATCGACGTCGCAAAATTTTCAGGAAGGGGGTGAAGGAAATCTATTTTTGGAGTGATCTGTCCTTGTTTTCATAGTTTGGGATCTCAGATGATGCCCTTTTTTAGCTTAAGAAATTGCTGCAGAAAAAATGCGTTACTGCATGAACTAATAATAAATGCCTTATTTATTTCCAGGCATAACATTTTGAAATTGCCATTGTCGAACTACTTTGCCGCGTTTTAAGTGACCCATTTCCAGTAGTTCATGGAGTTTCGGACCTGCGAGGGCACTGAAGGGAGCTCGCCAGTTGCGTAGGAGGTATTTCAGTTGGTTCTAATCGAATCTGTATTTTTGAAAAGAAACATCCGAGTTCCTGAATATGACAGCCGTCCCAGCATGAGCATGTTTAGTGGATCATCAAGAATTTTCTTTTGATCGTACTCAATGTACATATTTCATAATTCTCCATTCTTAATACTACAACCTTGTTTTTAAAGTCCTAATATTACTGTTTTTACTTTTCTTTTAAAATTTTTTGCAGGGGCGGGTACGTAGTTTAGTCTCCGTTTCGCACGTGCCCTTAGACGGAGACTAAACGATAAGAGTATCCTCTCCCTGTGCTCATCAGTAAGGGAGGAGAGCAAGAAAAATTTGAGCTATATTATTTCGCCAGATATTTAACATACTTTTTAGATATGTATTAAGTTTAAAAACTTCTTGAATTACAAACCGGCTTATATGGCAGAATCACGTTATTTATTCTCAATTGGATGAGAGCAGCAGAGCAGTCCGTACTTTAGGATGCCCGCCCTATCATGTTTTGCTCTTGAGAAACGTTCTCTATCTATCGATTGGCTAAAGCTGTGTGATAACATCAGCATGTGCTTCTAAAATCTGTGAACCACACAGTTTTGTTATGAGTTGCAGTCTAGCCCATCCGTCAGACAGCGAAACTTTCCACGTACATAAAACAGCGGTCTAGACTATATTCTTTTAAGGAAACCTGTTCCTGTAATTTGCTACTTTGCTAAGGTCACTTCAGGGCTGGGGGCAATTTTGGGAGTTCTTGGGATCCAAGAATTCCCTTTCATCTGCTCATGTCATTAAGATTTCAGTCATTTTATCGGAAGGGTCGCAAGGGTGGTTTTCTTATGAAGTCACGTGTTGTCCTTTGCCTTTACAAAATGTTCACCATGTAGTTATGCTTAGATTTGACTTTTTCACTCACCTCGTTTTGACAGCTTGATGTTAATCGCTGTTTCCGAGCTGTTGCGCCTATGTCAAGAGAGAACGCGGAGTGTCTAGTCTTTCTTAAGCGCGTTGTCAGCTGTTTGTTGACGTGCACAATCGACGCGTTCCCTCCTTGCATCATGTGAGCTTGGTTTTGTGTAGTGTATTGGTCTACATTTATCTGATTCGTTGTGTTCTCTGACTTATTAGAGCGCTGATGTTCTGTATTAAACCCGAACATTTCTCTCCTAGACTGAATTATCTCTCAGTATTGATTTTTTGAAAGCAAAGGTGTGTGGCGACAAGTGGTGCCTCATACCACGCGCGCGGTCCGGGGATCATCTCAGATCTCTCCGTGATCAGCTTTTGCACACAATTACTTCTCGGTATGGTGTTGAGTGGTGACTTGCATGAAGGTAAAAGAAATACCCGCTTTCACAATTAATTTAACCCTATATGTGTAAACCGTATTCAAGACAGTTACGATTCTGAATGCAACTTGAATGCATGGCGCATCTTGAAAAGAGGTTAATCAGAAACAGTCCCTCTTTCATCGATGCTTCATAGTCCTGCGACGATGAAGTAGGGTTGGAATTCCCTTTTTCTCCCATTTGAATTCGAGTGAGGAGACAATGTAGATTTCACTGCACAAAGATCAGTCGCCCGTCGGTCAGGATCGAAAGTGAAGTCATGTTTGTTGTCTTTGACGAGGGCGGGTTGTATTTAAGGACATGAGTGTTGTACTTCTGAATTTAGGGAGAGTTTAACGGTGGGAGATTTTTTTCCACAAAACTTGGAGGATTGAGTGAATAATCTCACCCTTCGCAGCAGCTCCAAGTTGTGAGACTTTTAATAGTTTGTGCCGCTTCTGCCGTCACATGTACTCCTTCTGTCCCGTCGACGGCTTCACTGGCCCTAGAAGAGGTGAAAATTAGTTCACGTACGGCTATGAGATGATACGTTTGGAAGTCAAGGATTGGGGCCGTAGCCCTTCTCGAAAGCAGGATGTGGTCGCACTTAGGCCGAAGTCGGAGTTTGCGAATCCGTGGATCTACGGAATCGCATTACCTGACGCAAGCCTCGCAGTTCCAGGGGTGCAAGCGTTGCGCCAGCGGTTCGGACACCTGCGAATTTAATCGTGACTTCGCTGGCGCAGCGCTCGTATCCCTCGAATGGCTAACCGGTGTCAAACTTTGCGACTTGGATTCGCTAGTAAATTCACGTATTCACTAAGTTTGACAGCGGCCTAATAGCAAAATTTAGCCCGCGCAGTGGTCGACATGCACATAAATATGCCGCCCGCGGTAAGCTGCAAACTTCTGCGAAGTGTAGCTGCACACAAATTTCCGCACTCTTGCATTCCTGCGCAAGCGCAAAATTAGCTGGTTGATTTATGGGAATTGCAAAGTTACGGCAGTGGTTCATAAGAAGCGTCTGCAAGTTTTTTTCTCTCATTTGGCCGCTACAAGAAAAATACGTAGAATGCGTGCGTATTGCTAGATCGGTGCAGCAGTCATTTGTACGAACACCTAGCTCGTCATTCAATATACCCGACAGCTTTACTTTCCTCACCGTTGCACGTATCAGTTGTCACTCGGCTGCGCGGCACCTGTCATCTGATATTTTGTTCATCTGGGAGGCTGCTGCTACCTTAGTGTTATCGATCCTTAGCTCAGCTTATTTGAATGGATACCGAATCGCCACCGATTTCGTCTCCTGATTCACCATCACAAACTTACAACAGCGTGTCCCGTCAGCGTTTTGTCTACAAGCCAAGAAGATTGCATTTTTTCAAAGAGAATGCGGTAAGTGCTTTTCTTGTCGATCTTTGGAAGTTTCATCACAGAAGTCTTCCAAGGAACACTTGGATTAGCAGTGTTGTTTTCAAACTTGTTCTCTCCATCAAAAAAGATTCAACGAATGGTTTACACTTTATGTCAACATTGAGGCGTGGGCTCGATTGGATTTCTATTCCTTACTTTCTACAAGTATCCAACGTTAACGCATTATTCTTGCTCGAAAATCGGAATGAACTAGCCGTCAGCAATTACGCCATTTCTAGAAGAACACTAATGCAATTATTCGCCTATAATAGAGCACCGCAAACTTGCTCGCGAGTTGGGGTGTATGAGTTCTTCGTAGTCACGGCCAAGCGAGGTCATCCAAGAAGATTTTCTTAAGGAAGGTGTCGTATTTTCTGATTCCTAAAGAAGGGGTCGTATTCGGGTAAAGAAGGTGGTGTTTCCGGACAGACATATGAAGAAATAGATCTCTGGAGAAAATGAAATTTTTTCAAAGAGTTCCGATGATCTCAAGATGAACCGACGCCATGACATCCGCTGTGTAGACTGTTGAAGGAGTTGGAGGTTCTGTTTTCGAACTGCCGACCCAATATAGGGGGGGGGGTCAGTTACCGTTTCAAACATTCCTAACACTACGAAGTGTGACCCTGCTTGGCACTTTACTACGGATGCCGGTAGGTTCGCTCAATAGGATATCTCTGATTGCTGCTGGCAGCTCGCTAACCTGAGCTCTAACTTCGCAGTTTTCTCTGTGGCTCACCTACGCAATGAAGGAACTCGACTTTCTTTGATCAAATATGTATCCTCGATGTCCTAACAATTTGTCGTTTACTCTGATTGCAATCCCATTATAGCTGATCGTCTGTTTGTCGAAGAAATTTGCAGGACTTTTTCGGACTATTCTCAGATCCAGTGGTATACGAATCGTTTTTTGTATCTGTCCAATTGCGGGCAAGGCCCAAAATGCCCATTACTGGCAGCAATTCCTTTTTTTCCTTCACATATGAACAGACGCGCAATTTGGGCGAGCGAAAGATTTGACCTCGCGCGCACCTAACGCATAGCTTAGGTTGGGCAGTGGCGAGTAGCGCGCCCCGACCATTAATCACTCGCCGCAGTCTATATCGTGGTAATAGAGGAAGAGTGTTGTGGCTGGCGCACAAATAGTTATACGAGAGTCGCATCAATGCTCAAATCAACGGGCAAGGAAGGGGTCCCATTTCTCGGGTTCTGGGCCATTTTCCTCAGTTTTTTCTTCTTTCGTGCATCACTGACCATCTCTATTTAATTTGAAATGGGTTGCTTTTTCAGCTTAATCGTCTTTTAACCAAATGTTTTGGAATTCCTGCAAATGTTATATCATAAGCTGCTCTTTCAACATCGAAGCTGATTCAAAATCTAGATGCACAGCTGAGCTGAGTTTACCTCTCTGTAATTGCACAGCAAACTCCTCGACAAGATCAACGGATCAATTCCTCCAGCTGATAAGATTGCTGGGTCGGCCACACAGAGATAGAGTCCTTTGGTACTCAGAAAGCGTGGAAATGACGCTAGGGCTAGACGCCATTACAATCATCTTCACCTCAAAAAACCACACACGCGCCGTTGCAGTATTTGCCGTCTCGCTCCTCGCTATATTCTCTCGTCTCCGTCTGTCGTTTTTTTCGCCTCAACGCCCAGTGTATTTTGGGCTGTTTCTCTCTCACACTCCTCACGCTCAGAAAAAGAATAGCTTTGCAGTTTAGTGCACTTCCATTGTTTTTTTTCTCTTTTTTCTTCAGTGGCAAATCACGTAGCATCTGCACGACTGTACAACGGCACAAATTTCAACCCCATAATTACACCGTTTTTCTATCTTGGGATGTGTCTTTAAGTCTTATGTGTGAGCATATCATCACGCTTCATATGTTGGATGCATGGAATGATCGGCTACTGCCATACTTCCTTTGTGACAGGTGGGAACTTGCACAGCTGGTAACACGTGAAGCGCTTACGTGAGTGGCATCGAGGTGTGAGTTGCAATCGCTGTATGTGTGATAAAGCTACGACTTTTAATGGTGCAGTTATCGGTTCGCTTTCCCTTCTTTCTTCCCACTGAGTGCCCTTCCTCATGAAATCCATGTCTTCCTGTTCCTCATGAAATAAGGAGTTCCGTCAGGCAGTTTTTTGCCCACCTGGTAATATCGCAGAAGGAGCGTCTTAACCAAGCGCCCTAATGGAAAGTGCAAATGAACGTTTTGTTGGTATTGGTCCGGTCTATGGCGGAATACTAGGATTGAATGAGACTCTGTCTGTGTAAGGTTCCACCAATGTTTTGTGGGCTTTTGTTTGTTGGCGCTGGTTCAACTACTGGCCAAGGCTGTAAATGTTGCCATTGCAACCTCGTGATAACATTTTTCAAATGATTTGTTAACAGTAGTGTACTTTGTACTGCTTCTACTCGTAAAAGTTGTTGTGGAAAAATAGGACATACATCGATTGGTATTCCATAAACCAGTACTCCCACCACATTGAACGTCAGCGCACTCGTAGTTATGGAACGAGGACGTCGCCAGAAAAACTTGGAATGTCATAGATTGCCGCGATACATATTGTTAGCATTTATTGATTTGCAGTTTGTGTCATAAAATATCTCTGCTTATATTGAACTGTGCTTTCCCATCAATCCGTCCTGCATAGCTTCTCTTTATGTACTTATCGCGATGTTTTGGAAAATTCTTAATACATATTGGGTCTCAGTGCAAAATTTATCATACATTTCTCTCCGTTTACCCATATTTTTTCACAGTTTTACCTATCCAGTGGATTTGTGGCATCATTTTCTGTGAATTGGTCCATACTAACACATTGCGGACCGGATCCGTTATACGAAGACCTCCCATACCTTTTTTTATGATTTTAGAAAGTGAATCATCAGAAAATGAGTGCAAACACTTTAGGAGCACTGAAAAATGCCGAATAAGCCGAATAAAAGCGTGATATTTCGATAGGAGTCGTGTGCCACATGGTGGCGCACCCGGTACGCAATGTGTTAAATTAGATTGCACCATGAGTTTACTGCAAAGCCACCGGAACAAATGGTGTCCGCCTAAGGGGATGGTGAGTGATTGGGAGAAGATCTTCTCCGGTAGAATGTTCTGATATATTTGCTTTTTGATTCGTTTCGAAATTCGCCAAAGGCTTCATGACGGTTTCGTTCCCTAAAAATGGCCATTTACCTTGCTCGTTGAGAGCATTCGAACCTTTGAATCGAATGAGTTGGAATACGAGACCATAGTGTTTTTTCTGTGCCAGAGACTGTGGTTATTATCGTTGTTTCTTTCCAGGTTAAAGAGCGGCCTATCGATTCAACAACGCCATCAGAGAGTGCAATGGACACGGAGACAAGTGAAGTTCCACAAGGTTTCTTCGAATGTTTCATTAGTTTCAACAGCCTTTTCTACTTTAGTATGTCTCTAGCGCTTTTCGCAGCTGCCAAATTTCCAGCGGCTGTTACTCTCCCTGTGAAAATATTGCGTTCTCTGCTTCATAAATTTCGATGTTTTCAGAGCAGCAAACTGGTGAAACAGGTGACGCTGGTGACAATTATCCAATCACATTAGTGGTAAGTCTCTTGTCACCATATTCTGCGAAGTGGTCCCTTTGCCTAACGGTTCCAGTACGTCGGGTGTGGAATGAGTTTTGGAGCCTTTTATGTTGTGTAGTTCAGTTGCTCCTACTCTCAAGGTATTTTAAGTCTTAACTATCGCATAAGTACCGGCCCTCGTTGTCTACAAGAGCCTGCTAACGAATGTGGAATTCATTGATGCCATCGGAGTTTAAAAAAAGGCCAGTTTCGAGGCAAAATGGGCACCGCTGTCATAGTTCAGCCACCTTTCCGCCGTCGAAAGGAATTTCTAACGAAATATGGGTAGAGGACCTTTGGTCAAGTACAGTCAGGAGGGGCGATGTCGAGTGGTAGGCAGCAGGGTGCTTGACAGACATGGCCGGGGACTTTTCCTGATTCACCTAAGTTCTGCGATGTGGAGTTCTCTAAAATTATATAGGTTTCCTTCTACTTCTACTGACCACAGAGAAAAGTTTGCCAAACCTTCTTGGCTGAGAGAAGACCATCAGTCGATCTCACTACCTGGAAGCATGCAAAGCATTTTAAAATGAATGACGCCTGCTACGAACCACCAAAGGGTGATTGCCACTTTTGTGCCTAATTGGTCGATCAATTCTAGCTCCACGTCGATTCCGATCCGTTGTGTTTTTGTATGTGGATACTTGAAAACACCTACTTCTAACCCATCGTGGTGGTATCGAATATCCGGCCGAAATTACAGTAACGGGAGAGAAGAGCGAGAGCTTTCATTCGTTTCTCGTAGTTTGGGAGATTTTGAGTTCGGGGGGTCGGGGCAAATAAGACGGGAAGCGAAAATGAATGTAAGAACTGGCTGGTGATCCGCCTACTTGATATCATAATATCGGCTTCTACATATTGATGATTCCCTAGATACAATCTTTTGAAAAAAAAAACCTGTCACAAAGCTGACTTCACGCCCGGTGTTCTAAGTTTTTGTGGCTGTTTTTATTTATAATTGGAAACTTTAGGGGTCAGACGTGGGTCAGCAGCCATCGGACACTGGAAATGTAGTCCAGGTACGAAAATCTTCAATATCATTGCGATTTGTTTCATGTGGGAAGCGAAAGTGCTAGGATGAAAGGATGAAATATGGAAATAAGAATCACACACGCAGATCTTGGTCATTTATATTTTAATCGGGTATTGTTCCGCAAAGCCCAAGTTATTCATTTACTTTTTCTATTATAAAAGGAGCATTTCCTATTGCTTCTAGAAAATCAATGTGACTCTTCTACAGTTAACGGAAAAGGCAAGATCTTAATCTCGTTTGCCCATTGAATCGAGTATTAAGCTACTGGTTTATAAAATTTTGTCGTCACCTCTTTCACCTGTTGCTTTCCTCTGATCTATTTTTTTACCCTTGATTTGCTGAGATTAATTTTTCTAACAGGCTCCATGTTATCCCATTTTCTTTCTTCCGCATCTTCAGCGATATTTGTGGTAGGGGTGCAAATATTGAGATTGAGTTTAATGTTAGTTCAACAACTGCATATTGAAGTACAACCCAGGCGAAAGTCAGGTGAACAATTCTTTTCGATCTGTAGTTTTGACTTCTACAGGAAAATCACAGACATAACAGTCCTGCGCATGGAGATGGCCCGACAAAGGCCTTAGCACCTTGCAAATACCGCTTCGACCGCTTTCATTCCTTTCGTCCATATCATGCTGGTGCGCGCCCTCTCATCCCTTGTACTCTCTCGCCTATCCTCTCCTCTGTGCTCAGTCTCACTGCCTTTAGCACAAGGTGAGCCTGAAGCACATAAAGGTGATGATCACTCGATAGCTCAGCAAGCAAGTCGATACGCATGCAATTTCACTGCTTCTCGCCGTATTCGCAAAGCGCACGTCGCATAGTGCGATCGCGAACCAAATGCAAACGTTGCCTAATTGTTCTTTTGTCATTATGGATAGCGTCATGGTAGCCTGACCGGATGGGTGTAATCTCTGGAATATTCTGCAGTGATCATTCCTCTTTTGTGTGGCGTTCCACTTTCCCCCACAATCATTTAATGTATAATTTCAGTGCGATCTGAAGCTTAAACACATGTGAATGGGTCTTGGCGTTCATATTAAGTAGTTGTTAGTGGTGATTAGCACGTTGAAATCTGTGGTCAATCTCTTAAGCCGAGCGTCCTTTACTTAGAAAACCACCGGGAGGCATACTTGAGACTTCCTATGGCCCTCATGGAGCTCAGCTTTCTTATTAAGAAATATTTTTTTTTTTTTTGTTGCACTGGATTTCCGTGGTCTTTGGCTGGAGTGAACAGGTATTTTGTCCCTATATCGTTTAGTCCAAGGGCGATGGGTGCTGGTCAACGTCGTAATATGTAGTTGTCCCATGCACTTGAGTTGCTTTTGTACAGATGGCTGAACTCTAGCGACAGCTTATTGTATTGTTTGATGTTGTTCATCTGTAATAAACGGTTAATAAGTCTGCCCTTGGTCGGTTTTCTATTCTCTTTGGGTCTTCTTGGTTTACCTTGCGATGGCTTTAGGCAAATGCCACCATCCTAGATCTCTGTATAGCAGATTGTCTCCCTGTATGCGTGGAACTGCTCATCAAAGTCCTGAATCTTGCGAGTTGGTCACAAATCACTTTTGAATCTCCACGGACGTCATTTGGTCAGCTGTTTCCTTCGATGTGAATTTTCGCTGCAGAGCGAGAACAAAAAAAGCATCCAGGCTGCAACGGCGAGATTCTTAAAAGTGTAAAATGTACTGTTGTGATTGATTCAAACATTCACGGATAGAATCTGACCATTTCGACCATTCATAGTTTTTCCTTTCATCCACTAATTTATCAATGAATGGTGATATTCGCCCACACTCCACCCTCAGCTTTTCGGTTCATGTTCTTACTTTCCTGGCCCCGTCATCTAAACTTTTCTTTTTTCGTATTTATAGAAAAAAGGTTAGGGATAAGAAGAGGTTCAAAAAAGTCATAAACATTGGATTACAACTCTTTCCAAAATAATAGCGCCATATGAGCATTTTATGTGAGCTTCAATTCTTCAGGAAGATACCTCTTCGATCGAGGGTAGCATTCCGCTTGAAGCGGTTCCAAGCATGGATGTCACACCAGTGGAAACTGAAGGCAACGACAATCTCAGCGAGGTTTGTTGGAACAGTGCGTTCTTATCTTGATCTGGTTGAGTGGGAACTGAGCAGGTGTCGGACTTTACGATCATTCGCAGTCGTGAATTAGCTATTCGAACAGTTCGACTGATGCGCCAGCGTTCATTCGCTGGCCCACCACTTGAAGGGCAAATGATTTACTGTGATCTTCCGTGCCGCTCGCCTACTTTTCCAAAGAATTGGGTAGTTCGAATATGTCAGCAAGCTATCACGCATGGGGGAGGATACCCAATGAACTTTCAGCCTGATTTTTCGGCAGTAATAGGGTTTAAACTGGCGGTATGAGTTTTTGATGGGTTTTTCGTTGTTGAATTCCTCTGACTTTTCGAAACAAAAATCCCGGTGTCTTATGGTGGAAACTAGAGAGAAGTGGTGTCATC